TCACCCAACTGTCCATAACTTAAATATATTTAGAATACTCAATGCGAAGGCACGTCGTACCTTCAAACAAAACAAACGGCAATCTGGGAGGAAGTATGTCTCCAAAATTAATTCACGTACGCCAATGTCCAGAGTATGGAACATGGTTCAAAGAATTAAAGGCAAAGGTTCAAAATCTGCTGTTCACCATCTTAAAGATGGCGATAATTTAAAACTGACAAATCTACAATTGCAGATAAAATTGGCGAAACACTTGCCAAAAATTCGTCATCGGCAAATTATGTCCCTGAGTTTCAGAGATATCAGAAACAACAGGAAAGGACAAAAGTTAATTTTGAATCAAATAATGGTGAAGACTATAATGAACTGTTTTCATTACATGAGCTATATACAGCTCTTGAGCAAGCTCATGACACTGCAGCGGGTGATGACAATATTCATTAACAGCTACTGAAACACTTGCCTGAACCATGTCTGGTCACACTTTTAGATATCTTTGACAAAATATGGACGTCTGGAAATTTTCCTCCCTCGTGGCGTAATGCTATTGTAGTCCCAATACCAAAACCTGGCAAGGATCGTACAGATCCGTCGAATTACAGACCAATATCTCTAACTAGCTGTGTCTGTAAAACCATGGAACGGATGGTGAATAATATATTAACTTGGTATCTTGAAACCAATAACCTTATAATAAATATTCAATGTGGTTTCAGGAAAAATCGTTATACCATTGATCATTTGGTACGCTTAGAATCCTTTGTTAAGAATGCTATAGTAAATAAACAACATGCTGTATCAATTTTCTTTGATCTTGAGAAAGCTTATGACCTGGAAGCATGGCATTTTGAAGGATTTACATGATTTTGGTTTGAGAGGCCGTTTACCTCTTTTTATATCACAGTTTTTAAAAGACAGGCAGTTTCAAGTCCGAGTGGGTTCAACCCTGTCTGATCATTACAAGCAGGATCAGGGTGTCCCGCAAGGCAGTATTTTCTCTGTCACTCTATTTAGTATCAAGATCAACAGTTTATCCAAGGTTTTAAACGATTCAATCGATGGATCACTTTTTGTGGATGATTTTAATATTTCTTGTCGTAGTAAATATATGCATACTATTGAACAGCAATTGCAGTTGTGTTTAAATAAAATAAATAAATGGTGTCTTTAAAACGTCTTTAAATTTTCCAAGTTTAAAACTAATTGTCTACACTTTTGTAGAAAATACAAGCCGCATAAAGACCCGGAACTATATTTAAATGGCACTCCAATCAAAGTTGTCAAGGAGGCCAAGTTCTTGGGTCTAATTTTCGACTCTCATTTAACTTTTTTGCCGCATATTAAGTCCCTTAAAGCTAAATGCCTGAGGGCCCTCTATTTGTTGAAAGTTGTTTCCAACTCAAAGTGGGGGGGGATCAAGCTACCCTCCTCCACCTATATCGATCATTGGTCCGCTCGAAACATGATTATGGCTCCATCGTATATGGTGGAGCCTGCAAAAGCAACCTAAAACTACTTGATTCTGTCCACCACCAAGGCCTAAGACTTTGTCTTGGCTCGTTTAGAACATCTCCTATTGATAGTCTCTATGTTGAGTCTGATGAGCCATCCCTTAACCAACGTCATATCAAATTATCTTTACAGTATATAACAAAACTCTATTCTAACGAGTCTAATCTTGCCTTTAACTGTGTTTTCAATCCTCCTTATGAGGATTTATACAACAAAAAGCCTTCTCTTGTTCCGCCTCTTTGGCTAAGAATTAAACCATTCATTTCTGCTGCTGGCATTGAGCTGGAAAATATATCTCCTTCCCGTCTTCTTCCTTCTCCTCCTTGGCAAATGGTGAGGCCGGAAGTTGACCTAACTCTGACAAAGTTTAAGAAATCTGAAACTAATGAATTACAATATAAACAAGAATATAATCAATTAAATAGTAAATATAATACATACAAGTCCTTATTTACAGATGGGTCAAAGGATGGTGGCGCGGTGGCATGGGCCACTGTCATTGGATCCCGAACAATATCTTCTCGACTACCAAATAACAGCTCTATTTTCACAGCAGAAGCTAACGCCATATTAACAGCTTTTAAATATATTAATAAACACCGTAAATATAAACAAAACATAATCTTTTCCGATTCCCTTTCGTGTCTTCAGGCTATTAACAGTCTTTCTTGTAAACATCCACTTTCATAAGAAATTATTGAATTGTACAATGAGCTTGCTACTGACCAATGCGACATCGTCTTTTGTTGGTTACCCAGCCACGTTGGCATTTCTGGGAATACAATGGCTGATCTTGCTGCAAAGGCAGCACTCAATACATCTGTGACACCACTTCTTATTCCATACTCTGATTACAAATCTAGCATTAGAACCTACATCCGTGAACTGATGCAATAGAAGTGGGACACCAAAGTAGGTATTAACAAATTACATTAAATAAAACACTATATCGGTTACACTTACTTGGGTTGTCAGTCCAGATTTGAAGAGGTCATCATACGACGATGTCGTATTGGCCACACAATATATACTAATGCATACCTATTGAAAGGTGAGGATCCTCCGTTTTGTATCCTTTGTGATGAGAGAACCACGGTGAAGCATGTCCTGCTTGACTGTGTTGAATTCTTCATCATAAGGGATAAATATTTCAGTATCAAAACAGTAAAGGACCTTTTTCATAATGTTAATTATCATTTAATCATTGGTTTTTTAAAAGAGATAGATTTGTTAAATGAATTTTGATATATGTTTTGTGAATAGAGAAAGTTTTATCATTGGTAGTTCAGATTATCAACATAGATTGTTTGTGGCTGTATCCTCAAAGGGGGTTGAAGTAGCGTAAAATTATTGTCCTCCTGAGAGGGTACGTAAGTCCCCAAAACGTTCAAAGTCAATTTTGCTCAACCATAATTTTTAATCGTAGTGTGTTTGTTATTTTAAATTTCGGCTAAATCTTCCTGCAATCGCCAGCGGCTGAAGGGATGGTGTAAATCCAACTAATGTCCACGCAGGTAGCAAAGGCACTGTAAGTCCCCATGGACCCTAGTATGGTGATCTACCTTCAGTTGTTGGCGATCTATAGCCTATTTTAATATTGTGTTGTCCTCTAGTTTTACATTTATATCTGTGATATTCTAGTTGTTTTACTGTCCTTCGTTGACAGGATTTTATACTCTATCTTTAATTATTGTTATTATATATGTTGTTTTTGTCACGATATGGCTGAAAGTGACGTTAAATTTTAACTCACTCACTCACTCACTCACTCATATCAGCAGTGCAGGTAAAGAAGATTGTTTTGTTCACAAATTGTCTGTTGATGCAAAGTATAAATAGGATATAGGTAGTGCTTTAAAGGTTTATTGAAAACAAATTCAACGTCAATGCCTTTCCAGCATTTTGTGGATTGCTTTCCAAGAAGATCATCGTCCCTGAAAAGAGAAGTATAATCAGGACTTTCCTGAACGAATTGCTTTGTGTCAAGGGCCATGTGCTTGTTGTAAAACATGTCTAATTAATCAACGGTGCAAAGTGTGTTGAAGGCACATGCGTAAATGCTTCGAGCTAGTCGAGGTTTGATACAAACGCTCGCAAGATTAAATTATCCTCTATCCTGATTAATGTCACGGACATAGGATCCCATCCACAAATTGTTCGTAGCACTACATCATTCGTAATCCTGTGATAAATTGCATAGTTACGTAAGATCGGAAAAGTACGTACAAATATATATTAGCAAGATTAAAATATACTCTATCCTCATTGAAGTTACGGACCCGATCCACAAGCGTTCGTAGCACTACGTCATTCATAATCCTGTGGTAAACTTCATAGTTACGATAACTCGTAACGCTACGTACAATATATACGAGTACTAGGAAGCTCAAAATATCCTCTATCCTCATTAAACTACGGACATAGGACCCCATCCACAAAGCGTTCGTAGCACTACGTCTTTCGTAACCCTGGGGTAAATTGTATAGTTACGACAGCTCGTAACGCTACGCACGCTTTGTACGCCGGGACCATGGATGTAATACACAAGGACAACTTATGTCTCCTTTCATATTAAAAAGGTACATTGATTGAATGATTGTTGTTTAACGCCGGAATGTTTCAGCCATATGTCGGCGGTCTGTAAATAATCAAGTCTGGACCAGACAATCCTGTGATCAACAGCATAAGCATCATCAATTGTGCTACGATGAGCCTGAGTACCCGATCCCTTTAGCCGCCTCTTACGACAAGCATGGATTGCTCAAGATCAATTCTATTCCGGATCTTCACGGGTTAAAAAGTTACAAACTTACCGTTTCAAGCCAGGCTGCAATAAAGAAGTTTGTTATATTAATGCATACAGTGTCAGAATTTGTTTCGTATGTTATATATGCAATTATATAGCATAATCAGTCAAATCAACATTACATGGGAGCCCATTCATTTTCCAAGTTTCACATTTTTTCTCTCTTTACACCAATCGGTCTTCACTTTCTGAAGAGTGAGTGAATATTACGCCGCTTTTAGCAATATCCCAGCAATACCACGGCGGGGGACACCAGAAATGGGCATCACACACTGTACCCTTGAAGGGAATCGAACCCAGGTCTTCGGCGCGGCGAGCGAACGCTTTAACCACTAGGCTACCCACTGCCCCGTTTCTGAAGATAGTTTGGAATGGTTATTCGCTTGCTGCAACGTTCTGTATTGAACAATTTAACCAGCTAGATAAGTGGTGAATCAACCAAGAAATAGATGTTTCTGTCACTGAATAAAGTATATGTTTGATGTTACTACTCGTCACGATTGCTACTTATATTCCTAAGTATAAGTAAACATGAATCATTTTAATTTGTATTGAAAACGTCCTCAGACTGATCAGTTATCTGTTGATCAGTTTACGGTGGATGTTTTAATTGCTAAAGTAACACTTGGGTGGCATGTGACAGTCCCTGCCATGATGTAACGTACCAGGCTGGTTCGAATTCAAGGCTCGGAGAACCAGTGGGAACAGATCCTGTGTACGGCAACGTTCCCACACTATCACAGGTGGTGGAGTTGAAGATGTCGAGATTTCTGGAAAAGAACAGAACATGTTGTTGTCTGGACAACTGCTTTCCTGGGCAGTAGAAATATACAATAGCTCAAACTATTTCCCTAAGTCTGAGTAAAACGACTAAGTTTTTGATAAGTAAAGTATCGCCAATATTATTTTATCTTGAAAATAGAATAGTATCAGGAAATATACAATACAGCACAAATCTCTCCTGTTTCCAATGTTGCATCTGTCACGTGGTGTTAAGATATACGTGATATGGTTCGCTACGGTCAACGTCATGTCAGTTTTATTAATAATGAGAATATAACGCGTCTTTTCCAGGCTAGATATCCTGCTCAAAGCGCACAATCTGATCATTATGATCCCGGATAACCCAAGCTGCCTGTTAGGCGTTATAAGGTTAGTCTCACGACTTATCCCACCGGGTACCCATTTTCTGCGGTGTGAACAGAGGCAATTTTGAACAAACCCATTTCGCTAAGGTGAGACCACATGTATCACATATGCTTCTTTGTGGGGCAGGACTGAAGTCCTAGAAACTCCCAGAAGTCAAGCTGCCAAACACGTTCACCCACCCAAGACCTCTCGGCGCCCAAAGTTGCTTAAAAACTTCAGCTGATTGTGACCTGAGCGCTATACACAAGACCACACGCTGTACGTCAGCGTGATATGTCAGCATGTCAGCTTGTTGAGGGAGGTAAAGCCGGACGTCACACAACAAGTGCACGTCTACCCCTCTGGTGAAACCTTCTATGATGCTGAAAGCCTCGGAATGTTATCAGGGTAAACCCAGGAGTCGATCCAACATGACTCAAGCACGTTCAGTTGGTACAATTCTACGCATTGAATGGCGGCGCACCTCTATTCGCGAACCTTACGTATAGAATTTCGGTACACGTCTATTACGTCCATACGGCGAAACTCTACGTATACGATATCGGCGCATCTCTACGCATTAAATGGCGACGCATGTCCACTAGGCGCAACTCGAAGTATAGAATAGCGGTGCACGTCTATTCGGTGCAACTCCACAGATTGAATGACGTTTCCTTTGATTTCTTTCCGAGGCTTCCCGAGGCCCCCTCTGATAGAAGCCAGGGGGGCGTTGTTTAGCCGATACGCTGTGCAGCGCTGCGCTTCTATTGGCTGAACAACGCCTCGCTGCATGCATCGCAGCGCTTCGGCGTGCAGCGACTGAGAGAGGTGCTTCCTGCGTAAGCGAGCGACATTCAAAATGGCGTCACGGCATGTCATTCTGCAAGGTAGCAGAGAAAACTTGTCCCTATTGGTCACAGAAGAGCAGACAAAACGCCTAAAAGCTGTCCAGATGTAGTGTAGAGTGTCTTCTCATGAGTTGTTGCGCACACAATTCAAAATCATTGCATGGAATATCTTCTGCAGCTTCGTGTGGCTAGTATCGGTGATGTGTTTATATTGGACGACGTCATATTGAATGAAGCGCTCACACAGCAGTCCGTTGCCCGGGAAAGCAGGCAGCGTAGCGCAGCGAAGCTTGCAAACTTTTGCTGAACAACGCGCCCCTGATGTACCAGGACGTTGAATAAACTAAGTTGACGTTCCAGGTTAACGATGTCTCTAACAAGTCAAATATACGATAATTGAATCTATAACCAAAATGATGACCGCCTGGTGTTCAGTGATTGAAAGGAATTCATAAACAAGTGATTGTGACGTATACGGAAGTATATGGCGGAGTAGCTCGTGGTTTACAAGGCATTAAATTACATTTGTGACGTCATTCCATTGTCTGTTCACTCCATTACTTTTCAGGAATGGAGCGATGTGTACCAGTTTCAAAATAAAACCTTCATTTTGTCATTTAATTTTGATAACAGCAATATTCCCAATACTTCGAATGTAATTTAAGTAGGGTAATATCCTCGTAACTCTCCATTCCTTAAAAATAATGTGCCTCGGCCCCTCCGGGGCCTCGGCTCCATTATTTTTAAGGAATGGAGATTACTCGGACATTACCCTCTACGTCATGTATACTCTGTAATTCCTGAAAGTGAACCACCTTGAGTGCAAACGACCATTTAAACACTTACGCATCATTTGGGTAGACAGCGTAAATAAGCGACGTACAAGAGTTGATCCTTACGTCCCCACATGCATTGGCTTTACAGCTGAGCAGCTTGGAGCATCCGGTAGCAGCGTTGTGGATCCACAGACCTCCAGCGTTATCGCAAAATACTAGCCTGTCTTTGGTGAAAAGAAGGTCCAGGTTAGAGTTTGTAGATTCCAAATATATCATCATATCAAAAGGTGTGAAGGCGGCTTACATGCTAACAAGAACGTTTATTACCGGAACAATGATGAATGATACAGGTTATTTCCTAAATTGTTGTCTGATGGCTGGAGGTAAAATATTCAGTTTATCTAAAGACGAATATAAAGCAGTTTACAGCTTAAATAATAAAAAAAATAAGGTATTATTTTCAGAAAAGCTAATTTTCATTCAGGTGACGTAAACGTGATAGTATAAAAGATAATCCGGAGCAGTATTAATTGTCTCCAACTTTTAGTATGTCATTGCCATGGTTACAATGAAGTTGTTTCCTGTACGTCGGCCACATGATCCTTGATTAGTCTTCAACACAAACATACGTTTGGCACTATCAAAATATGTGAATGATATGTTATTAAGTTTAAAGTGCTTGACAGACATTTGGAAGTTGAAGAACATGGACATGGATCTTGTATACAACTTCCTTACTTCAGATAATCATGTAATCCCTTCTTGGTTGAATCCTGAGTTAGCGTCAGAGTAAATATACACACGTTCATGTCAACACAAGTAGGATTAATGTACAAAGATATGATGAGGTAGGCAGAAAGATTATAAGAAGGGGACGCCGGTTACGTACACTGACGATGAAGTGATTAGATTTGGCGAAAATACAACTAACTGACTTTATTAGATGAGGTCTATTAGCCACAATCGTATCACCAACCATCAGTGAGTGAGTTTAGTACCACGCCTCTTGTAGCAATATTCCAGCAATATCACGGCGGGGGACACCAGAAATGGGCTTAACACATTGTACCCATGTGAGGAATCGAGCCCGGTTCTTTGGCGTGACGAACGAACGCTTTACCCACCAGCTATAGGCTCACACACCCCACCCCCCACCCCCCCCCCTCTATGGTGACTGAGGGGCGGTGGCATAGCCTAGTGGTTAAGGCGTTCAGCTGGGTTAGAGTCCCCACATGAGTACTCACTCACTCACTCAGTCACCATAGGACACCTTGGTTGTCTTGTTGTTTATGTAACAACTTTGTTTTGTTCGTTTGACGGCAATATACCAGCTATGTGCCTGTAAATAATCTATAAATCTTGAATCACCCACTCACTGCAAATAATCGAGACTGTACCAAACAATCCAGTGACTGACGTCATGAGCATCCATCTACGCAAAATTGTCCCCTAAATCGCCTCTTCCGGCAAGCATGGTTTGCTGAGAAGATAACTTCTGACCCGGATGTTCATGGATGTATCTTTTGTATGATCCTTTCATCAATATATTGTAAAATTACACCATGCGCTGCTGTGAGAGGTCTTACTGAAATGATGATGATGATGATGATGATAAAGTCCAGCCGAATGACAACACGTGATGTACGCAGTGACTTCTCTGCTGTTTCTAACATAGGCTTCGTCGTTATATTATTACCTTTCTGTGCATATGTACTTACCATCGTCAATGACATCGAACGAACTAATGTCTACTGGAAACTTGAATTTGTTTTGTAAATCTCCACCTGTCTTGTTGATGCATTCGATTCTGTTGCAGTTGACGTAATACAATCGCCTGCAACGAAATTGGAAGGCAATGTTTATGTACATTCTCTCTTCAGTTTAAAATTTAAAATAAACCAAAATGTTTTTGCGCTACAGTCCAAAATGTATCTATGATAAGTGTTTTTCTACAAAATAAATCAGCAATGTGCTTTTTGACTGTCACTTTCAGTCTGTGTTCAAGATATGAGTCCTCAAATTCTGAATCTTGAAGTGTCGTGAATAGTATACAACATGGACATGGATATTTTCTTTAAATTTGTTTATCATCGTGTCTTTTATAATCATTTAGGAATGTTTGTTTATGGCCTTGTAAAATACAGAGTAAAACAGTGATGCGATAAGTGTGTATGATATATACAACATCACTATAAGCTAGAATAAAGAGAGCGGTGGTAGCCTAGTGGTTAAAGCGTTCGCTCGTCACGCATGGGTACAATGTGCGGAGCCCATTTGTGGTGTCCCCCGCCGTGATATTGCTGGAGTATTGCTAAAAGTGGCGTAAAACTCAACCCACTCACTCACTAGAATAAAGATATGCAACAACATACACAGAACATTATTGCCGTTTCTTTTTCAAATGAGCATTACTATTGTGTAAATTATTGATACAAGACTGTGAAGCCAGCCTATTATAATAAAGCACATGCAAATATGTATTTTGTTTGTGTATTTTTATGGATGATTGTTTTTTTTATTCAAACTGAACATGAATACTGTGTGAAATTCAAACACAAAATTGTGAAGCTAGCCTATTAAAATTGAAATACGTAACATGTTCTAATAAATAGAAGATTGTTTTTTCTGTGAGCACACATATTGTGTAAAATACAGAATTATGATCGTGAAACCAACCCGTTATAAGTTCTGATTGTGCCAGGCTTGCAGGAGACTGTAGCAACTTCGGAGACGCTGAAATCATTTTGGTTAATGGACAGGATTTTGTCAACTCCACTTCCGGGATAATCAATGGCGACGAATAATGTATCAACACAATATGTAATGCCAGTCCCTTGTCCTTGGGGTGAGGTTAGATCTAGATGGTACGTAAAAACACAGAGAGAAAACGAAATCATTTAATTTTTGTTTGTTGTTTAACGCTCTCAACAATATTCCAGCTCAAGGCTGCGGTCTGTACGAAAATAGAAAGGTAAATGGGTAAATTCTATATTCTGCTGTGTGGCAAGAACTACAGCAACACAGACATACTCGAGTTGAATATTTTCAACACATGATCAAGTGCAACTCGTTGTTCGTAAACCATGGGATTTAAAGATCTTGGATTGTTCAGAAAGGTTTTTTCAGTTCGTAATGTTTTGGATAGTTGATGATTATATATGGGTGTGTACAACGTTGGAAACCCGTGAACATCCGGGTTAGAATTGGTCTTCAGCAACCCATGCTTGTTGTAAGAGGCTCCCAACGGGATCGGGTGGTAATCGTATCCCAATTTCGTAGATCGATGATCATGGTGTTGATCACTGGATCAACTGGCCCAGACTACATTATTTACAGACCGCCGCCATATAGGAGAAATATTGCAAGCAAACAAACAAACTACGTTGGGAAGAAATTTCAACAATTAAACTTTCGACCATTTATCCTATTACGTTTCATGTTCGAAAGTTGTCTGATCACGGTTTCAACCTTCAAAGGCACAGTAAAACTTCATTCACAACGTTTAATGATAGACCTGGGGAGGGCGTAATACATCAGTGACTGACATCACGCCTGATGCAATTCCCTTTTCAGCTTGTATCATATGTTCCCGTGAATTTCGTTTCATGTGAACAGTTGACTTGACTTTGCATGTGTTTGTGACGGATGCCAGTAGCGAGGCAGGATACGTTCACCTCTTTGAGAACAGTGGATCCGTCACTACATGACACTGATTCATAATTGTAAACCAAAAGTCACTGTGTTCTTTAATCTGATTGGTTGAAAAACGTGATCAAATGGTATTTGATTCCCGGAAATTCTTTGCGTATTAATACATACAAACATCGCTCACACCATTGTATTGTTACGTCGTCAGCTGTGATGACGTCATTAAAATCATATTGTGACGTAGAGTCCGAATGACGTCACAAATGAGCAGTTCCAGATGCTACCATTGGAGACAGCCGAAACGGCCGGCTGATGACATTTCACTGCTGTACTCGTACTCGATGTCAATGAGTGCAGACACAAAAACGTGTGTGGACCTTTTGGTTTACTTTTGTGTTTACAATGTCGATAAACATCATGTGTTGGCCAATTTCCGGGTGTTATTGAGTATTTGAGGCACGGGAATATTTCATTTGAAACCTCCGGCTGACGCCGTCGGTTCCAAATGAATTCCCGTGCTTCAAATACTCAATAACACCCGGAAATTGGCCAACACATGATGTTTATCTCCTACACACATACTATTAATATAAGAATCGCAAAAGCAGAGATTTCGTGTGGCACTGAACCGTTTCGTCGCTATTGAAAAAGGCAAGTATATGATGTCACGTTGATATGTTACATCATAAAACCCTTTATGCATTTTTACTTTTTATGTTCTTTTATGTGTTCTACAGTCACGGGGTTCTTCTTAAGAACATAATGACGCACCTGTTTCATTAGCCAGTGTAGTTTGAGTAAGACTTGGGTTGTCCAGACATATTACCACGAAGGGGTCTATACTGATGAAGTACACGGAGAAGGACTCATCACTCTGTCTCTCCCCAACTGTGATAGCGCTGATATTTGAGTTAGCATCGATGCTTTGCAGAATCGTTCCAACTGGGTCAACAACAGCAATGTCGGACGACTCATCACTAGCAACAAGCGCTGCACATCCCTCAACTGAAAAACATCATAGTAAAACATGATAGGTGTTACGGTTAATAATTTGCCGTGACAAAAGGTTTTAAAAGTCCCCTTTGAACCAGCAAAATAGAACACAGACAAGTCTAAAATATTCAATAATATATTGAACAAACAATGAGCAAGCTACAATGAATCACAATACAGATTTCTCGTAAAATGCAATTGAGTCACAAATCTAAAGTATTGGGTCACAAACATAAGATATCAACTCACCAGAGTCTTGACATTTACAGTTAGAGCAGATATACTGAATGAAGGTAGTTTACAATGAGAGCATTCAGGCATGCAGTGTCAGTCTTGAATGTAGGTCAGACGATGGCGATGACAGACATATGTACACAACTCCAGTGATATGAAAAGTCCGTGTAATTCCGTGTCGCACAACACAACAACCAGCCTCTATATAGCTCTCACACAGATTCTAGAGAATTCCCGTAAAGCCAGGCGGCATCATTATCCTCTCAGAACATTCACGAAAGGCATCGTAAACACGAGACGTGACAAGACCCGGAAGTCAAAGCAAATAGTTATACAAAAGATTGCCCCTAGGGAGGCAACTCTGAAGCGCTATCAAAGGCGTACCCCTACAAATTTGGGGCTACCTTATTGCGACGAACATGCCATTGAACATACATGATGCGAGATGTGACCCACAACCCACACTCAAAACTTTAAACATTATGACCCATAATAATTATCACTCAATCAATGATATCACAAATTACAAAAACACACTCTCGTAACATAGGGCATATTCTGTTAGAACAATATATTGCGGATATAGTTGTAGGATTACTGTTTCCAATTGCACACTGAACAAGAGGTTTATGTGGTGTTTCTAACATTTATTATTTTTCTCATTACACACCGTTTTTAACATTTTTAGCAGGAATATACACTTAGCTGACAGAAAATAATTGGGTATTTTTTTTATGGCTGAAAGTTAGGCTTTTCACATTTTAAAAGTTTAATGTGTCATTAGGGATCCAAACAAAGGCGGTTCCTGCTCAGTGCATGTAAAATAGAAACAGACATGATACCGAAAAATGGCTCTGGCGTCGCATATCTCAATTAATGTGCGTTGAGTGAGTGAGTTGGTGGAAGGGAAGACACACGCACGCGCACGCACACGCACACGCACACACACACACACACGCACGCATTCACTCATAAGTAAATTCAACTCATTGTGCTATTAGACTTTTTTGAGACTATTTTGAAAGTCAGATTTGTTGGTTTCTATACTTACGTGCAGGACACTCAGTAGGTTTGATCGCATTCAGATCTGCAAGTTGCGCTAAAAGCGCAGTTAACATACTGTTTGCTTCTTGTAGTTGGTTTTCGAAGCAAGTCGTTTCTGAGGCATCTAGCAACAGATAAATACAAATTGTTACCTGTTGTTTACCTGTGTGTGCAGTTTCACATCACTTGAGTTTATATGGAATGGTCTTACTACACAGTTAATATCAGCCTACATGTTATACGAATCCAAATGTTTCCCGAAGACTTCCATAGCAACATTATACTAGTATATTCTTAAAAATTAGCCAGGCCCATACTAGCCATAACATATACATATATGCAGAGTATGGCCAGCTTAGTTCATTCCTTTTCCAAGCGCAGGAACACACCAGTCCCAGTTCCGCACCTAAGGTCACCTACTTGAAAACATCTACACATTCAGCATAAGTTTTCGTGCTCTAAATATTGAAAAATATGGTCAGTTTTTATTACTGGATGGATGTAGATTTAAAAACACAAACATCTAACACAAATTCAGCCAATCACAGCTGTCAGAATATTCCGTTTGTACTGAAAGCCCCAAACAATACTAGTGTACAGTACACAACCCTGTGCACTTACAAAACCCACGAATCCGTTGGTAAATGACCAGATGATGCCCACATGAATACGTGTAAACACCTAGTTGCGGCTACAGCAACGTGCAGTAAACTTGGACAAAGCAATCGGACCATGTGTCCCAGCTGTGAACGAGTACCTCGTAAGGGTGGGAAAGCCACATTAACTCGGCTGCAAGAGTTGTAAACTGCCATGAGAGTTGAGATTGATAATACGATGTGCCCCTTGAGATTGACATCCAATGACGAGGGAAAAAACCCAAAGCGCCTTTGAGCAGCTGAGCTGTATATAGCCACTATACAAATATTAGCAAAATAAAAGAACGAAAAGTGCTTGGTAAACTACGGATGGGCCGGGTACTTTGGTTGTACCTTGACGATCGAGGGTCACAACTGCAGCACATGCCGGTCACATGGCACATCTGCGTGACCGACAGCGACGAGCAACACATGGAGCTGCAACCTTGCAAGGTACACGTCAGCCCACGGAAACACCAAGGCACACGGAAATCAGAGTGGTGTAAATGTTATTATATTCAAAATGAACAAGTTTCTCTTGGCCATTTGGTCAGCTCCATGTTTCACCAAACCTGGACATAGGTTAACCGACAGGCACCAAAACAGGGCAGGTGTAACAAAATTATTGACAATGACAGTGTCGGGTGTGAACACCATTCTTGTTGCAGGTGAGGGAGCGGCGCCACATTGAAATCTATGGTGTTTCAAATGTCAAACATCCCTGTTGAGCTAGCGCTGGTTCTGATCCTGGCGTAGGCGTCAGACCATGTCATCCCTGACATATGGTAGATGTCTCGAGGAACACCTAGCTAATGCCCCCAAAGTCTTTTACAACAGGTGTGAGATGTGTTTGGGCGTTACGTCCCTGTATTTGTTCAAAGGGAAGAACATGATCTCGAACGAGGCTTCCGACATTCAAGATACCGTTAGCAATGATGAATTGTGTTCTTCCATACCATACAATTACACATTTACCCCAAAACTGACGTAGAAGAGCGCATACCGTTATCCAGTTTGCCATAACAACATCAGCATAACCATAGTCATGAGTGAGGGAGTGAGTTTAGTTTTATGCTGCACTCAGAAATATGATCAACAGCATGAACATCGATCTACGCAATTGGGATACGATGACATGCGTCAAATAAGCCAGCCAGCGACAAGCATGGGTTGCTGAAGACCGATTCTAACCCGGATCTTCAGTATCTTAGAAAACATTTTCATTCCGTGAAGTTTAAGAGTAGTGTTTTATGAACACTCACTAGGTGAACGATCTTTGTGCCCTTCGAACACGCTATCACGCTCCGAACGAACATGTAAACTGTTCGTCGCACTTTGACAGGCGTGACAAATGTAAATCACGACCTTAAAGTCAAGTACACTTACATAACCAAAATATTTGATTCATCAATACGTATTTGTAGCTTCCTTTTAATAGCATGGTTTCATGGTAAATGGCAGTACTCTTTAATGTTGTGTTGGTAAACATACTTATTTTTCCAGCAAAATAACGTAGACTTATAGGAAAGGTTTGGAAGCAGAGATTTTATTAATGTATATGTGAGTACAACACAGCATTCGGACAACGAAAGTGGCCACTTAACAGTGAGTGAGTGGGTTTAGTTTAACGCCGCTTTTCGCAATATTCCAGCAATATTACGACAGGGGACACCAGAAGTGGGCTTCACACATTGTACTCATGTAGGAAATCGAACCTGCTTTAGAGAAATAGAATTGACGTCTTAAGTTGGTGAGCATTGCAAAATCATTCTGCACTACCACATTTTGTTCCAATTTGAAAAATCAACAGCAATCTGTACAATCCTTCTTCATTCAAATTCCACTCTTTATCACTAATCGTTTTATTTAGTTCATCGTATGTTTGTAGTTACGCACTGCATTATTGACAAGACTATTTCCATGACTATCCTCATGAATAGTTATGCAACATTGTTAAAGCACAAAAAGCGGAGCATAAATTACAATCAAAATAGTCTATAATGGACAATTTATTTAATCAACTAAACTCCTTTTACCGTTGCACGTTGTCCCAAGCACGGTGATCTACCTTCAGTTGGTGGTGATCTCAAGCCAGTTTTTATATTGCATTGTCCATAATATTTGTTTAATTTTAAAGTAGCATGCTAGTTTTAATTCTCTATCGGTGATAATGTAGTCATTTTACTGTCCTTTGTCGACAGTGATTTTTAATGATTAAATTGCGTTTATTATGAATTTCATTAAGTCACGATATGGCTGAAATATTGCTGATGTGACTATAAATCTTAATTCATTCATTTGCCTAGCAGGTGTCAAGTCAAAGATGTTTTATTGTATTTCAGGCCTCCGGCCCATATACATTGGAGTAACATGCATTATACAATCACATACAGCTTGAATACAGAGATGATTTTAACAGAATATCACGCTTAGACATTGCATTGTAAATGTATTGTGATCGTTTTAAGTTTATACAGTTGTCATAAGTAGACAGGAATTGTTTAAATGCCACAGTTGGTGACTTGGAGAGGTAACATTCAGGAATATAGTGTTTACGTAAATCTATGTAAGCTGGACAGACAAATAAAAACTTTCGTTTTCAATAGATAATTTACACAATGGGCAAATTCTTTTATATCTGTCGATGGACATACGTCTTCCTTTATTAATCATTAAGTTTAATAGTACTAATCGAAGTCGTATTAATGAATTTCTCAACTTTTGGATGTTAAGTGTGATAGGTACTTTTCGGGTTGGAGTAGGGTTTCAAACATTCTAATTACTGCTTTCTTTGCTCTCAAGGCTAGTTGAGCAACCGATTTTTTAAAAATTAATGGTTGTATTAAACATAAAACCAAGATATGTGTGCTGATTTCTTACAGTTACAAGTTGATTGTCGAAACTCCATCTTTCTCTTGACGCAACTGAGCCACCTTTTCTGAAAATGACTACATTTGTTTTATCAAGGTTCACGGATAGGTTCCATGTCTTTTGTGTAACGTTCTAAAATATTTAATTGCGTCTGCAGCCCAACAACTGATTCTGATAAAAGAATAACATCATCGGCAAATAATAGTATTAAGATTTCTATTAGATATGGAAACATTTGGACACCATGTTTTCCCTTTGCCATAATTTCGTAATATAATTCATTGATAGAAAAGGCAAAGAGGATGGTGCTGAGAACACAACCTTGTCTCAGGCTGATCGGGCAGTCAAAAATCAGTTATATCATCACCCTTTAAGCCCAGAATTAAGTAGAAACGTAGAACTACGTGGAAATATACCAGTCTCAAACAACTTATTGAAACACTTATTCAAAAACAGCATAATGATTGATTGTGAACACTTCAACATTTCTACAACAACTTGGTCCAAGCCAGCTGATTTTCCGTTTTTAAAATGTATCAACGCTTCACAAATTTCCTGATCTGTAATGAGTGAATCTAATACAAGTGCTTCTGGGTCTGTAACATCTTCAAATATCATACTTATTGCATCATCTTGCAAATCATTCAAAACAGAATCATTTGTAAAATAACCCTTTAAAATGAGCAAGCCATGATGTTTTAGTAATTCTATTGCCTATGATTGGTCTATTCTTGAATTTTCGTATTTGTCCCAAAACGCTGTTGGTGAACCACTTGCATTGTGTGTCCAAGTAGACAAAAGGCTTTTAGTTACCTAAGCAGGGACACCGCTCGTCGGTGATATTGAAGACAGGCTGGAAGTCACGCTGAGCTTCTTGTAGTATGAACATAATGTCCCCAGCCTTGATAGTCAAAGTCTCGGGTTCCAAGTCACATCGTTCTGTGGCCAGTGATTGCGTTAGAATCGCCACGAGAATCACGATACGTCTTACGTCGACCACCGCCATGTTGATCCCGAATGTCAAACTGTCTCAACTTGACGCTGTTATAGGTATTGTGAAATAAAGTGGACCGATGTATCAACCGAAATATATGTCAGCCCACGTGATTATAGACACCAGGCTGTTTGCAATTGATTTTGAGGAAAATACTTGCAAACGTCGGCGACTTAATGTCAGACCAGTTGACGCGTATCTACTGTGTGAACTGATTAACATTGGTTGCCTTCATGGCAAATCTATCATTTAGTACCCATTCGGCAATGGGTGTGTAGGTGTGGTTTCACACCGCTTTCAGCAATAGTCCAGCAGTACCAACAGAAATGGGCTTCACAAATTGTCTTGATGTAAGGAATCGACGTGACGAGGTGTTCTTGGTGGCGATATTAGTGTCGATATAATAAAGATGATGTGGTGGTAGGTGATGTGGTGGTAGGTGATGTGGCGGTAGGTGATGTGGTGGTAGGCGATGTGGTGGTAGGTCATGTAATGGATGGTGATGTGGTGGTAGGTGATGTACTGGATGATGATGTGGTGGTAGGTGATGTGGTGGTAGGTGTAGTGGCGGTAGGTGATGTAATGGATGGTGACGTGGTGGTAGGTGATGTGGTGGTAGGTGTAGTGGCGGTAGGTGATGTGGCGGTAGGTGGTGTGGTGGTAGGGGATGTAATGGATGGTGATGTGGTGGTAGGTGATGTGGTAATAGGTGATGCGGTGGGCGGTGATGAAATGGATGGTGATGTGGCGGTAGGTGATGTGGTGGTAGGTGGTGTGGTGGTAGGAGATGTAATGGATGGTGATGTGGTGGTAGGTGATGTGGTGGTAGGTGATGCGGGTGATTATGTGGTGGGTAGTGATGAGATTGGTGGTGTGGTTGGTGATTATTAATGTGGTGGATGGTGATGCTGTTGGTGACTTGGTGGGTGGAGATGTTGTAGGTGGTGACGAGGTGGGGGTGATGTGGTAGATGGTGATGTTAAACAAGTACAGGCAATATTTTCGAGATTCAACCTTATTTTCACTGTTATATTTAGCAGCGATGACTAAGACACCATATGCCATACATCTGTTGATATCTGTGCAGACAGTCGTGAAAACTAGCCACCTAACCCTGCTGCTCACCATACGTTACGTAACTACATTTAAATTTTTTGAAATTTACATTTTGTCAGCCCAATGGTTAGCAATCGATTTGAAATATTCATTTCGTCTTCTTTCACTTGAATAAAACGACTGCTTCATTTATCAGCATAACCAGGCACGCCCCCAGAGCAGTAAGGCAGTATTACCAGGCATGCCTCCAGAGCAGTAAGGCAGTATTACCAGGCATGCCTCCAGAGCAGTAAGGCAGTATTACCAGGCATGCCTCCAGAGCAGTAAGGCAGTATTACCAGGCATGCCTCCAGAGCAGTAAGGCAGTATTACCAGGCATGCCTCCAGAGCAGCAAGGCAGTATTACCAGGCATGCCTCCAGAGCAGCAAGGCAGTATCACCAGGCATGCCTCCAGAGCAGCAAGGCAGTATTACGAGGCATGCCTCCAGAGCAGCAAGGCAGTATTACCAGGCATGCCAAGGCAGAGGCATGCCTCAGGAGCAGCAAGGCAGTATCACTAGGCATTCCTCCAGAGCAGCAAGGCAGTATCACGGCAGGCATTCCTCCAGATCAGCAAGGCAATATTACGAGGCATGCCTCCAGAGCAGCAAGGCAGTATCCAGATCAGCAAGGCATTCCATGCCTCCAGAGCAGCAAGGCAGTATTACCGAGGCATGCCTCCAGAGCAGCAAGGCAAGGCAGTTCCTCCAGATCAGGCATTCCAAGGCAGTATCAGATCAGCAAGGCAATATTACGAGGCATTCCTCCAGATCAGCAAGGCAGTATTACCAGGCATGCCTCCAGAGCAGCAAGGCAGTATCACCAGGCATGCCTCCAGATCAGCAAGGCAGTATTACCAGGCATGCCTCCAGAGCAGCAAGGCAGTATTACCAGGCATGCCTCCAGAGCATGCCTCATGCCTCCAGAGCAGCAAGGCAGTATCACCAGGCATGCCTCCAGAGCAGCTAGGCAGTATTACCAGTCATGCCTCCAGAGCAGCAAGGCAGTATTACCAGGCATTCCTCCAGATCAGCAAGGCAGTATTACGAGGCATGCCTCCAGAGCAGCAAGGCAGTATTACCAGTCATGCCTCCAGAGCAGCAAGGCAGTATTACCAGACATGCCTCCAGAGCAGCAAGGCAGTATTACCAGTCATGCCTCCAGAGCAGCAAGGCAGTATTACCAGACATGCCTCCAGAGTAGCAAGGCAGTATTACCAGACATGCCTCCAGAGCACAAGGCAGTATTACCAGACATGCCTCCAGAGTAGCAACTGTTCACTGTTGGCATGCCCTAACAGTGAACTGTAACAACTGTTCATTACAACGGTTATCCCACCTATATTACATCTAATAGGACAGGGTGATTGCATTGTTTATCCTGTCCGTCATACTTCCAAAACGTCATGGTTATTTCGATGTTTAAAATAGCTATATTACATGTAAAAGGTCAAGGGGATTACGATGTTTATTGTACCTCAATTACATCCAAAAGCTACGACTGTATACATGTACTTTTGTGAATCATATTGGCAATTAACAACTCTTCTGATGGGATATCTGGAATTCGTTGTTTATGTTCAAGCCCGTGAAATGAATGCTAGTGTTTGAACATGAAGGACATTATCTACTTGAAGCAGACCCTCTCCTGCCCGGGCAAATGGTAAATTTCGATTGTAGCCTTCAATAGTTTTACAAGATTTCCATGCAAACAAAGTGTTATATCCCGTGCAAGAGGGCATATCTTATCTTTTAATGATGTAACGATGCATCGAACTATCGATGGATTGAAATTGTTGAGTCTCCGATAGCATTAATCGATGTTAGTAACGAAAAACTATCGATGCATCGATAATATGCGTGACTATCGATCGTTTAGTAACTGACTTCCGTTGATACAGGACAATATAGGAAGTACCGGATTCGTTCACTTTGATTTCGAGTTATCCTCCCCTGTTACCCCTTAAACAAACACGGCATGGGGGTCGGAGTTTGAAATTGTGAATATCAATTAGCTTATGTTCAACTGTTTACTTGATCTAGGTTTCAAGTTTCTTGTCAGTTATTATTTCATATTTATATGGGGCGGTGGGGTAGCCTAGTGGTTAAAGCGTTGGCTCGTCACGCCAAAGAACCGGGTTCGATTCCCCACATGGGCACAATGTGTTAAGCCCATTTCTGGTGTCCCCCGCCGTGATATTGCTGGAATATTGCTAAAAGCGGCGTAAAACTAAACTCAGTCAGTCAGTCATATTTATATAAACTATACATTCATTTGGGAAATGAGACGATTGAAGGAGAATAAGCTCGTATTGCAATAGTTGCAATAGTTGGTCTCAATAAGCTATCGCTATTGCAATAGTATGTTGCAATAGACTATCGCTATGCCAATAGTTGTTTTCCCCTCAATAGTCACCCCTATTGTCTATGCTGGAAATTGCTGAAAACGTTATGAGTAAAATGTCACGCATATCTATTCCCAAGTAGTGGACTATCCTTTACTTTTAAAATAGGTTATTACAAGTAGTATGTTGAGTTAATAACCAAACTGTAACACATCCCCAAACCTGATCGTGTGAATCAGTATAGGTTTGGGACGCTTCAGGCAATATCCCTGGATTATCTATCATGGCTCCCATATTCCTGAAGACCTCATATATGCTTTGATGGTTCTGATTGAATCCTGAACCTATAAGTATAACAGAAGGAAAACAATCATACTAATTAAAGGTCTGTCTCAGCGCTAACCAGCCCGAAATGTAAACATAATTACAGTAGTTTCCTTGTTCCTCACATGTGAAGTTGTCGTATAATCTCTATAAATTCCGGCGAAAACAATAACCTAGTGATTTAAGTTTTAGTGAGCGAGTGAGTAATGTTTTACGCCGCTTTAGCAATATTCCAGCAATATCACGGCGGGGGACACCATAAAAGGGCATCAGATTTAAATGATATGATATTAAAAATCCCAACGTCATATTTGAGCATTCGTCTGCTCAACTTATTATCACAACAAAACCAATATATTTGCGTTGATACAGATTGAAGAGAGCACCTGAAAAAAGTCGGAATGGCAGGGTGATAGTGGGTAGTAGGTAGGGAGGTAGTGTTCCTGTTGTCATCCAAAGGTTCTCAAACGTTATCGGCTGGTTCAGGCCTTGATTTAGGTACCGTTCCACTTCATCCTAGACAGGTCCTAAGTAACAGCCAACAGCAATGTTATGCTTCCTCGAAACAGTCTGCTACAACACGTGGTGGGCGTTATTCTGCTGCAACGTCGGCTTTACGTCCCTGCAGAGTGTGGAGTATGATCTCCAACCATGTCATCCCAGTAGCGTTCCTCATTCAAATTACCATTGACAATGTGTTCTTCCTCGAGTTGTGATGGTAGCCTAGTTGTTAAAGCGTTCGCTCGTCACGTTAAAGACCCGAGTTCGATTCCCCACATGGGTATAATATGTGCAACCCATTTCTGGTGTCCTCGCCGTGATATTGTTGGAATATTGCTAAAAACGGCGTAAAACTAAACTCACACATCGTCTGCAATCTCGTGATTAAAAATCAAAACAATATATAAAAATACTGTTTATTTCATTTTACACATGAAAAGAAATGTTCCTGTCAATATTGCTTTATCACAGATCACTGACAAGAACATGTGGCATAGAACATGTACAGAACATTTCAAAGTGGCACAAATAATCGTGAGTATTCAACAAGGATTTAGAAGTGCTAAAGTGAGTGAGTGAGTGAGTGAGCAAGTGACTTCTCTTGGGATTGTTAGAACAATGAGTCTCCACGGTTTAGAATAACGCCAACAGCTGATGTGGTGATGAAGTGGAACTCCTCTTTGGACAGTATCACGGTGTCTCAGGACAGGTTGTAAAGCTAGTACTGGCATCTTAGCATAGATTATTAATGATACGCGGCAGATTCGTCGTCAATAATTACTTGGCAATACATCTTAGTAAAGGTGTGTTATAGCAGAGGCAACAGGAATAATCAAGCTGAGAATAAAGTAAAAAGGATAAATCTCGGAAATAAACTATCATATTTTAAGCTTGAAGACTACAAGGTCATTGCTGATAATTGAAAAATTCTTGGTTTCACAAACTAAGAACAATTTTTTAAAACTGTTTCTACAGCAACATATCTGTTTGCACATTTATTCCTGTTTATATTAAAAGAGCAACAAATACAAGTTTAAGTACGTACCAATATATGCAAGAGCATGTTCAGACTTAATGCTACTTTGCTGTTGCAATTTGTCATCATTCAGAATGATAAAATGAGAAACTTGACATACCTGCACTAAGCATTGTATTTTATAAACATATTCTTGTACTTTCCCATCCAGGATTCGAACCCACATTTATCCAGTCGCGTGTAGTAACAGGAGGGTTGTGAATCAGGATTTGCGTTCTGACAGCTGTTGCATGAGTAAAATATTGCCAAGAGAACGTCATCTCACCCTTACTTTGTCAGCCTCTAGTCTGTATAGCAGCGGAATGAATGACGGCGATCTATATGACAAGGATATAGGCAGGGGTGCAGTTGTGGAGTCTTGCTATAAGCCAGGAGTCTTTATTCCAGCGGAATGACGGCGGACTATATGCCAAGGCGATGTTGTGTTCTTTAAGCCATGATTCGTTGCAGCAGGAGGATAATCATGAGGATGACACATGGACGGGAAGGGGGCGATGTTCCATTGTTTGGCATCTGTAGACTACCAGAAACTGGAAAAAATAATAATACAGAAACACAAAATGAGTCGTGTGCCTTTGAATTTCCGGAAAACATGAAACACTGTTTCGATAAGGTATGTTCATGCAACGTCCTACTGAAAGTCAGCTGGAAGCGACCATTTTACTACTCTCATAAATCACCGATCGGCAGGCGAAGCGGCCCAGCCATCAAAACGGACGCAATCCGCTGCGTGGAATAAATTTACGCTCGAGGATTCGAATCTCCCTTCGGCCTGAATATGTTTCTGAAATGGTAACGAGCACATGAAACTGTCATTCCTTTATCGTAAGTCATTTCCAAATCCATTATGAACAAATTTGTTTGTTGTTTAATGTCACACTCAGTAATATTCCAGCTATATGCAGCGGTCTTTAAATAATATGGACCAGACAATCCAGTGATCAACAGCATCAATATCAATATACGCAGTTGGGATACGATGACATCAATCCAGTCAGAGAGTCTGACCACCCGATCACGTAATCGCCTCTTACGACAAGCATGGGTTACTGAAGATCAGTTATAACCCGGATCTTCACGGGTTGCTTATGAACAAGCTACGTGGTTGTGATGCATTATGGTTACGTAAGAAGTCTTTCTGAGAAATTTCGAAGGGCATTACCCGTGCCATAGTAATCTCAGAATGACCTTGTTTCAGTTTTAAACACGGGGAGCTAAAATGGGGTTGAATGTCGCGTTTGGAGTCGTTTCATTTACATAGCGACGTGCTATCCAAGCAGTTGCTCTGTCACCACGGAGGTTCAACATATCTTATACCGGAGCAGCGACAGATATTAATATTAATTTAGTTTGCGCTTCATAAACATGCAGCATTTTTGACTTACAAAACATAATTTAATTACTAATTTCAGTACGAAAAGTTGACATTAGTTTTCAAATTCGTACCGTCAGTGTGGTCTTTTTCTCTTGGAACGCAAATAATTTCACAAATAATTCTTCCCGAATAGAAGAGATGACTAAGAACAAACTGTCCAATAACTATATACTGTAACTATCCCAACAGTGGGCTTGAACGAGATAGACATGGTCAAATCTTATGAACAGTTAATCACTCTGATCGTTTAGTTCCCTACTTGCCAAAAATAGTCTAAAATGCAAGTATGCATCTTGTTTAGGGAACACAAAAATATTTTCAAAACATCATGCACGGCCAAATCACATAGGTTTTGAAAATGAAGCTAATAATCTTTCATTTTAATTTTCTTTTGTTTGTTTGTTTGAATGGTGAAATTATCGAACTTTTATGCAAATTAGCGTTTGTATATAAACGACATGACTTCGTCCAGTTATCAATAAACAACTACAGTGTTAGAATATTTTTCTCACCTATTGCTTTACAAAAATGAAACTTGTTTAGCGAACAAAAGACATTTTCAGAACATCCAACATGGCAAAATGACATGTGTTTTTGAATAGGTAGCTGTCAGTGTTTTACGTTTTGAATAGTGGCACATCAGAACGGATTCTATAATAATCGCATTTAGCGTTAACCGCTAAATTGTGTTATTGTTGGCGTCGCCATACCACGTGCCTTTGTTTATAAACATGACCTTGGCACGCGCAGCTGCAAACATTACGTCAACACATGACGTCATCAGTTGCTACGTCATCACACTACGCGACAGATAACGGTGAGTTACCTCACTTCTCGCATCATCACCGAACTCGCCTGTCGCGCACAGCTATTAACCCCCTTGATGCCGAGGTTTTTTTAGGCGCACATTTTCATACGGCTTGAAAAGTGAACGTTGTGCGAGAATTGCGCTCGCGTGGTCCTGGATCTACGTACGGCTATAAAATTACACAGAATTGTAGAATATTAAATTTCCTATCCGTTGGTATAAATATAAGTGCAACTACCTTAGCGGTTTGAGAAATAGACACTGCTAAATGTTGTCCAAAGTTTGTTATGCGTTAAAAAACAGTAAATTTATCCGCTTTTTATCGCGCACCGATAAAAGCACGGTGCTACGAATTTTTTAATGTGGCATCTTTACGGAAAGTGTGAGCGAAGAAAATATAGCCTGATACAGGAACGACATAAGTGTATATGAATTGGGTTTATGTGCTTGTGCATAACGTTATACACTCAACATTAAAAATGACTCGCAATAAATGTCAAAAATGGATTTTCTTCTATGACGTCAAACGACGACACAGAGGTCATACACGTATAATGATAAGAGGTGAATAACTCCGTTATGCGTAACACTAGGTCAATGTAACTCAGATCACTTGGAGAGAATTTGTTGTGGATACGGACGCTATATTTTCGTTATTTTGTGTTCACGGTGAACCAAACTATTCCAATTCAAAGTTCTCCAATTTGAGCGGATGCAGTTTGGTAGTTGCACAATTTACAAGAAAAATGACAACGTATTACATGTGAAAGCACGTTATAGCGATTTGGATGGCCCTATCCGATATATAAGTTAGTTCTTAGATTCCCATATTCTCCTGTTTGTGTAGATGTAATTTGACTAATTTTGCATCGTTATTACCAGAATACTAGCCATATCTTCAAATGTAATGAAATTGCTGAAAATAATACATTTTAGTTGACGTCATTGGTTGTTTTATGCATTTTGCGACGTCGGAAAAAGACGACATTGGTATGCTGATTGGTATATATCTCCCCTAACTTCCATTAATGGTATAAAAGGTCTCGGCTTCTACGTCAGAATTTAACACTCTTTAGACGAAACATAACATGACTGATTTTTCCATTGAAATAGTGTCCTGAATATATCAACAATTAGACGGTTTGACAGCGTATCTTATTGTGAACAACACGCGCACCTGTTTGGCATCAATTTAACGTAAATAAAAATAATATTTCACAACACCAGAATATTTTGTTTGGGATAAGAATTTTTTGTTTGTTTATGATTATTTAGCTATTTCTCTTCATACGTATGCAATGAACGATGCGAAAAGATAGCTTTTTATATATGGAACTATATATTAGAATATGGATGTAAGATTTGTCCGAATTAACACATGAAATGGTATATATATTTTTCAACAATTTTCCTAAAAATGTAGTTAGAGTTTGATATCCTGTCATCACAATATTATTTAATCGAATATGAATTGATTATATTATCGAAAACATTGATACAGAATCATAAAAAGTTTCCAACAAACGCGTACCTGGCCGATCAATATGCATCATTCTTTTGTCTATAAAACGACACAAAATTATGCAATGAACAAGACAATTCCTTTAAATATGTGTGCATATACATTTCATGCCATATATAAATCATTTTCAAAAATATTATCAGTTTTACATATAAGGTTGAATTAAATCACCGTTCATTAACCTGTTCATATGAAATTGGAATATTAGTCCAAATAAATTGAATATTGTACATCATAGGAACTAAAGTAGTTGCAGTTATGGCTACGTTTGATCTTCTAACACTTGTGTAAAGGTTTAGAATATGGTGTATTGCACTAAATATGTCAATTTCTTATGTAAATATGATTCAAACAATCAAAAACTTTCAAAGAATAAAACACCGTAAACCCTATATGCACGTATGATATGATATTGAACAAGGCTAAATGTAGATACTGAAGTCAGTTTCATGAAAAAGTTTCTGAACTATACGCAAAATATACACCATAATACTGACAGTGTAATCGGAAGGATTGGGCGATTGCGTTTACTCTTGTTCAACCGACCTTCACCTCAAAGAAATTGCCTAATATGTACAACAATGTTGACGTATGACATCACTACCGCTGACCGATTTCTTACAAAATGGCGGCTTTGCTGACAAGGGTACACAGGATTTTGCGTGGACCCTTCCATTGATTCAGGGATCGTTTGTACATAAATATGAGATGTAAGTAATCAGAATGATTCTGACTATCTGTGTATTGTTATATGTTTTTATCGTTTTCACTATAAGTAAGAGAAAAAGCCAGAAATGCTGATAATTACCGTTGTCGTTCTGCGTGATTTAGCGTCAGTCATGGCGTCACGCTGCACGGAAACTTTGACAATTTCTTATGAATTATCAAATCATTGCATTGTATCTATTTATAATTTCCTATTGCTTGCTATGATACTCTTTCCATGCATATTCCAAAGGTATTGAGCCATTGCAAGCAATGAATAGACGGATGAATGTTGAAAAAATTCAGAAAATGCTACCCAGTGTAAAATCGGAATTTGTCTTTTGTTTACATTTCAGACAAGCGCAGTCTTTCAAGCACAGCGTTCGTTTTCACACCCAATATGTTTCGTCTCATTTTATCTAGACAGTTGGTATTGGTGACACAGACCAGTTGCAATTTGATTCTAAAATGTATGGGGAATTCAGTGATGCATTTTTCGAAGCTGAATATGAAATATACGTGATGTAATAGGCGTCTCAATACCGGCCTTCGCGAAACGTGATTTTGTAAACACTATCCAATATGGCGGAAAGCGCTCTACGGCGTTCGTGTAAGTGCATTTTCGAAAACATCCCAACCGATTCTAGATTCATCGGCAACGTTTCAGAATTATAATTAGCGATTTCATGTAAAACTGATATCAGTGATCATGAATATGTTATTTTTGAAATTCAATACTCCCAGTAATTATCCGATTTTCACATTTCAAAACATACAGCAAATAACGCTGTGAATCGCGATTTCGTACTGTGTCAAAAATGGCGACATTTTCGATGAAGCCTATTTTGAAAGGACATTTTCAGCACTTGAGCTTTGTCTAAAATAATAGTGGATGGTATCAAGAAACAGGAAATTTCCCGCAGAATTCGAAACTGTGAAGTGTATTTGTGTGCGTGGGATATTTTGAATTTTATTGGACTTGACATTGAGGGTTGAAGGGGAAGGACATATATGTCCCTGTGGCATCAAGGGGGTTAAGCCGGCTAGACAGCGTGATGGTTAGAGCGTTGGACTCGTACTCCAGCGTACGGGATAGCGATAGAAACTTTTAAAACATCTCGCGCATACCAAAGCTATATTAGGTTCTAATAAAATACCCACAAATAATTAACTTAATCTAGTTAATATTTACTAGCTTGGTTTCTATTAATTACGTTGTTGTAGCAATTTTTGTGCTCTCCGATCTATATGTTACAGATGTGGCCTGGGTAATTGGCGACAGCTACATGGACAGAACGAGGGGAAGCTTGGAGCAACGTCTTGGCACTAGACGATGGCAAGTCCGAGGCGGGAGTCGATGGCGCCATTTCCGATCTTCCCTTAACAACCTCTTGGCTTCTGCGGGTAACACCACTCCCAAATGGCTCGTGATCCATTTAGGTTCAAACGACATGTGCCAAATGTCCGCCAGGTGCATGCACGACGACATCCTATACGATTTGCTGTATGCCAAGCTACGTCTGCCGGACACCAGGTTGGTGTGGTCCTTCATGTTGCCACGTGTTGAGTGGCCGGCAGCTGTGAACATTAAAGAGCTTGAACTTTCTCGCAAAAAGCTCAATCGAAGACTGGCTAACAGAATTGAAGACCTACATGGGATCAGCGTCCGCCATGATCAGATTGATCCAGTCGAATGTAGATCGGAACATTACTTGGCTGACGGGGTGCACCTGTCACTCAGTGCAGTGCACAATATTATCAATGCTTTAACTGCCAACTAACTCAGATAATGCTAAAATAACGTCAATAAGTGAGCACACGCGTTCCATAATTTTCCGCTAATTTGGGGTTGTTTCTGCTGTTCGTCTATCCACTGTTTTCTAATACCTATATCGTGCCGGCGATTTGTATCGCGGTGGCCAGTTTGGGGTGAGAAGCTCTCAATCGCTATGCTGCTGGTTGTCCGCTTTCACAGCGGAAACCCCATAATCATAATTCCTACCTGCTTTACAGCGTCTGCTTGGTCACAGCGGA